GCAGAATCTACCTAGGCAGAATCTACCACTTTCATCTCTTTGTTGTCAATTATACGGCTGATTATTCTATCTGTTATCATTAATTTGGTCTTCTTTATATTTAACATTCCCATTTTTTTGCTGTCCTCTTTGACTTTTAGTACTATGGCTTACAGTGTCAGGGTTCCAGGTAACACCCCTAACAGAATCAAAACTCCGAGGCAGGCATATTCCTCAAAGTATAAATTTATTAGAGATATCATATTGGCATATCTGCGGAAAACCCAATTCTAAAAGCCCTGTGTTTACAATCTACATGTCCATCACATGGTCCAATCCAGTCACTATCTCAACTCCAGTTGGTCTCTGTCCACCCATCCCCAGCACCTGACAAGCTGTCCTTGGTTCCCAGAAAGAAAGAATTTTATTTTGGTTACTAAACCTTCATTATCTCTACCTCCCATTCCCATTCCCACAGCTCAACCAGCCACTGCTGTGGCAGCCCTGAAGACGCCAAGGGAAAATGGCTCCAGGGCTGACATACAGATCCTTTGCATTCTGCCCATCTTCTTCCAATCCAGCTTCCCTTAATAAAAACTCCGTGTTTAGATTGTATAAATAAAGGGAGAATATGCAGCCTTGTTGCACTCCTTCGCCAATTGGGAACTGGTCTGTTTTTCCATGTTTTGTCCAAATTGTGGTTTCCTGACCAGTATATAAGTTTCTCATGAGGACAATTAGATGTTTGGGAATTCCCATTTTTCTGAGCACATGTCACAACTTGTTATAATCAACACAAACAAATGCTTTTTTTTTTTAAAAAAAAATCAATGATGCACATATTGACTTCTTTTTGATATTCTTTGACTTTTTCATTTATCCAGCATGGATCTAAAGCTAACTTGAACATCTGGCATTTCTGTTTCCATATAGGGCTCTAATCTGTATTGGATCATCCTAAGCATTATTTCGCCAGCATGTGAAATTAAAGATATTGTAACGCAGTTTGCACATTCTGTTTTTTATATTGGAATACATATACACCAACCTTTTCCAATCTGTTGGTCATTCTCCAAATCGGATGGCATATCTTGGTGAGGACCTTGACTGAGTTTTCTTCTGCTGCTTGCCAGATTTCAGTGGGTATTCCATTGGTTCCTGTTGTGTTCTGGCTTGGTAATAAGCGGAATACTTCTTCATCCAGTACTAGAGGTTTGTCTAGTACTAATTATCTTCTAAGGTATCTTGGATGTTGACATTTCTTCTGTGTAATGTTTTTCAGTATGATCTTTCCAGGAGAAACTTCCTAAAAGTGAAAACAATTAACCAGTGGAACAACTTGCCTTCAGAAATCATGGGTGCTTCATCACTAGAGGTTTTTAAGAAGAGACTGGACAGCCACTTGTCTGAAATGGTATAGGGTCTCCTGCTTGAGCAAAGGGCTGGACTAGAAGACCTTCAAGGTCCCTTCCAGCTCTGTTCTGTTCTGTTCTGTTCTGTTCTATTCTGTTCTGTTCTGTTCTTTTGAATCAGTTACTTTCTGTTCATTGGCATCCTTTAGCATGCTAACTTGAGGTTGGAGCCGCCTTTGAATTCAGATAGCTTTGGAAAGACTTACCTTGTTTTTTCATGTTTATTTCCATCTTATATGTCTCATCTAACAGCTCTCTGAAATTCTTAGCTAAGTTTCCTTCTGAGATTTATGTCTTTCTTGGCTTTAGTTTCTCTTTTTTTGGAAATTTTCACAGTTCGTTCATACAATATATTCAACTTGCTGAAACTAGGACTGAAGGGTTTTTTTTTAAAAAAAATATTTTTGTGAGTCTATCTGCAGTTCATTGGCAGTGAACATGGCATGTTCCCTGGCTAAGATGGCAATGCCTACGTCACTGTTTGACTGGATAACTGCATGCCAATGCTGTGGGCTGTGGCTTTTAATTGATTCATTTTGTGGAGACTCGGTCATTTTCTTAACTTGCCTACACATTAAGACATTGTGTGGCTTATTTATTTAGGTACAGCACACTATATGAATATAGGAGCTGCATTTATTAACTAAATCTAAGGCTGAGTCTGCTATGTTAACCCAACAGAAGATTCTGTGATTCTAAGAGCAACGTTTGTATCCAACTGTCTGCAGCAGCACAAAGGAACTATTCTGTAGAATGAGGCCAAAGAGACATCTAATCTTACATTTTTCATTACCAAGTGACCAAGTGATGCATTTATAAAGTTCAAAAAAATGAACAGGAAGACAATAACTCTGTTCCACTGTTGCTCCTTAGCAGCTAATGTTTTAGAAAAACTGCCTGTGAGTCTGGAAGTAGCATGCCAACCACCAGGACTAGCTGCCATAGATAGTAAGGCTATGTACTACATTGATTCCAAAAAGATGCTCCAAATTGCGCAGAGCAATGAATATAACCAATCTCTGCAATTCTGTAAAGCAGGCACATTTTTATCCTGGATCCTGCAGTAGACATCTGCAGCTGCCCTGTGATTATTTTTTATTGTAAATGCTTACTTATGAGATTATTACTCATATATTTCTTGTAGATTGCCTTTCCTATGAAACTTCTCATTCATAGAGCACTGTTCTCTCAAAATTTCTTCGCAACAGATTGAGTCTTTCATACATGAACGTGTGTGAGAAAAATGTCATTATCCAGGTTTTTCTCTGTTCAGCTACATTGTTTATTGCTTTTAAAGCAGAAAGCAAAACCTGAGGCATTTGTCTCTAGCAATCATAGACACTGTTATGTCTGTGGGGCTGTAAACTTTTTCTCATTTGGAACAAGATCTTGTGGTGTGATGGGGAGACTAAGCCAAGTCAAAGTCTTGTGTCAATGTCATTAATAGCATGGGCCATAATTATTGAAATACCCAGTTTGCTACCAGCAGGCAGGCATTGTTCTGTTAGGTATCTGCTTTCACTCAGTGAGGTCTGAAAGAATGCTGGATTTTCACTTAAACCAGGGGATGCATTAGCTTGCTATGGACTTGTCAGCTTGTTAACAATTTAACAGGGCATTTTGCCATTTCCCAGAGCAATCGGGCGGACTGCTCTGTGCAACCTTTTGGCAGGGACAGATGACAGGGCCATTGATTCCCAGTAATATTAATGCTAAAATGACTGTCTCACATCACATGTCAACACCAAGCTTCCCAAGCAAATCAGAATGGCAAGACACAGATATTTGCAGCCATTTTTATGAGACACTAATACCAGGGAGCCAGATTTTGTATGGTCTCGTTCTTAATGCATTTCCTACAGGTTGCATTGATTGCAGACTGGCTGTGAAAGCATTCCCCCATCCTGTAGATAGATTTAAAAAAAAAGAAACTGAAACGAGTGAAGTTCTAAATAACAACATTTGAACCAAGAATGGGAGATTCCAAAGATAGGATAGGATAGGATAGGATAGGATAGGATAGGATAGGATAGGATAGGATAGACTAGAATAGAACAGAACAGAACAGAACAGAACAGAACAGAACAGAACAGAATAGAATAGAATAGAATAGAATAGAATAGAATAGAATAGAATAGAATAGAATTCCTTATTGGCCAAGTGTGATTGCACACACAAGGAATTTGTCTTTGGTATATATGCTCTCAATATACCTAAGGAGAATAAAATACATTCATCAAGAATAAAAAGATACAATACTTAGTGATAGTCAAGGTTACTAATAAGTTATCAAATCGTACTAGAAAACAAATAAAAACAATATAATTGGGACCCAGTTGTGGGGGCAATAAGCTGACTTTGTATAAATATACAAAAGGATGAAGGCTATTGCTTAGCACATTGTAAGCCACCCTGAGTCTCCGGAGAAGGGCGGCATATAAATAAATAAAAAAAAAAATAAAAAAAAATTGAAAGATACAAGCAACATGATTATAGTAATACGTGGGAAGAGATAGATACTAGTAAGGAAGAGAAGAATAATAGTAATACAGTCTTAATAAATTATTTGACAGTGTTGTGGGAATTAGTTGTTAAGCAGAGTGATGGAGGGCACAGAATTATTATTGTTAATTAGATTTATATTCTACCCTTTGTATAGGAGCTTAAAATTGCATGCATTATGCTCCATTCTCCTCCTCCTAATTTTTTTCCCATCACAACAAAACCCTATGAGATAGGTTGGCTGAGAGTGTCTCCAAAACTACTCAAGGAAATTCTGTGGCCGAAGGTAGGCCAGAATTTGGATCTTCCTATTAAGATCTTCCTATGAAAGAGCCTTGGTAGTACAGTGGTCTAAAGCACCCTGTTATTAAGAACAGCTGCCTGCAATTACTGCAGGTTCGAATCTCGCCAAGGCTCAAGGTTGACTCAGCCTTCCATCCTTTCTAAGGTAGGTAAATTGAGGACCCAGTTGTGGGGGCAATAAGCTGACTTTGTATAAATATACAAAAGAATGAAGGCTATTGCTTAACGCATTGTAAGCTGCCCTGAGTCTCCGGAGAAGGGCGGCATATAAATCAAATTTTTTTAAAAAAAGTATCTTAATCATTATACCACATTGGATCTCTGAAATGAAATGAAGGTGGCAATACCAGCACAACATTATGGAAAGGGACAAAACTGAAGAGTTCTCAATAATACATTTTAAAAAGATAGTTGGAGGGAACCCAGAAGGAAGAAGAGTGAGAAACAAGGAAATATGTCAATGTAATTACCTAGAAAGAAGAAAATACATGTGATGAAGTCCAGTATGACCAGCCTCATAACACAACTCAGGGTGGATGGCCTTTTGCTGTCTGAGGATCATGATTAACATTTGGGAGGAATCTTAAGGCTACAGCAGATAAAATGATGGTGTAAATGAGAAAGCTGAGGTTTCTGTGTTTTGCTTTATTAAGCTGTGTTAGGCTTCACTTAGGACCTTCATAAACCAAGTGGGTTCTTCCTGCCTCAAAATGGCAGGAAACCACAAAATCAGCTCATGTCAGGAGTGAAAGATCAGAACCAAAGACGAAGTTCCAATTAAACTGATTTGTTGCTAAGTGACCCAGTCACAGGAATCTTCTCAACTAACAGTTAGTACTTACTTAGAATTAGATAAAAGATCTACAGAATTCAAGGGGGGTTGGGATTGGGATGGGCTGCTGGGGATTCACAGGGGTTTGGGAGAACCTCTAGCTAAGATTCTGTGCAGTTCAGAGAACCCCCAAATCCCACTCCTGGCTGGCCCCACCCACCCTGCCCCTCCCCTCCCAGGAGTCCCCACACAGTCTGTTTTGGATGCAGGTAAGTGCAGGGTGCACACAGAGGCTCAGGGAGGGTGAAAAATGGGCCTGTTTCCTGCTTCCAAAGGGCCTCTGGAGCCTGGGGAGGCCATTTTTGCCCTCCCAGAGGTTCAAGGAAAGCCTCTGGAGCCTAGGGAGGGCAAAAAGGACCCCCGCTGTGGTTCAGGAGGCCGCCTAGGCCACGCCCACCCAGGAACCAGGCAGAGAACCCCTTGCTAAAATTTTTGAAGCCCACCCCTGGCTGGGATATGGCTGTTTGTAGCTACAGTACATAGGGATTCTAGGCTGATTCTTCTTTTAATTCCGCCCCCAGAATTCCGCCTCCTCATCCTACAATTCTCAGCAATTATGTTCAGAGAGAGTTCCAAGCCATAATAAAAAGATCGGGTGGGAGCAACTGGCCCTAGAGCCATTGCTTGCTCATCCATGTTGCAGATGATCATACAAAGCAAAAAGTAGAAAGAGGGTGGAATAGAAACCAGGATGATTGAAATATAAATTGTACGTCGAATTAAGGCTATATCTAATCAAGCATCCTGTTTGTTTGTTTTTTTAAAATAAAAAGTAGAGTCTAACTCTTGAAAACCCATAAATAGGGTACAAAGGAAAAACAATTTCCATTTTCCATCTCACTAACTATTATTCCAAGCCATGTTGTTGTCATTGTTCCTAGCATGAGTTCCACTTAGTAACAAGGTCCACTTGTTCACATTGGACTAAATAGCAAATGATGCAATAAGAGGTTTTGTTTTTCATCCACCTTATCACAGAACCTGATGCTGTGTTATTCCAAGCTATATTGCCTCTGATCCTACAAGTAAAATATAGCTATTATGACAACGTATTTGGATTGGTGGTTCACACCTTATATTTAACTTGGGAATTATCCAAACATTTTGAGTTATAGTTACATTTTATTCCGGTAAAAAGACCAACCAAGCTTAAATTGCTGCTAAAAACAAGACCACAGAAGAAATATATTACCAAAGCTTCCTATTTCCTTCACTAATTGAAGTAAATATAGTAGTAAATAAATTAAACAAGGAGATGTGCTTCATCCACCAATAAAATTAAAGAAAGCTGATTCCTAAGAAATGCTAATGCCTGATCAAGGGTGCCCATAGGAGGTGAGAAAAATAAAGATGGCAGCCATGACCTTTCAAAGTCCCATGCATATGCTCTGCATGCAAATTTTCAACCACACTGTTACAGATTCACTATGAGCCTGACAGTGTCTCCCATGCGGTTCAAAGATACCACCCAGAAAGCCCACCAAGGGACCTTTGAGTTGGCTGCCAATCCAAAAGATCACAGCAGCAGAAGAATGTTTAAGGTCATTGAAACCAAAAATAGAATGAAGAATAAACAAACTAAAAGAAAAAATTGGGAAATATGTGTGTGTGTCTGTGTAGTATCACTAAGAGTTCACACTGTTTTGATGGCAATCAACACATACACACACACAAGATCTAGTTTGCTGTAGTGTTTCAGACTTCAGGCTAGAAATCAGGAGACTGTGAGTTTCAGTCCCACCGTAGGCATGTGTTCTGCCCCAGCTATGGACCCCAAAGAATGCAGGACACACAAAGTCCATTCTTTTTCTTTTCTTTTTCTTTTATTTGAATTTGTATACCACCCTACTCCCGAAGGACTCAGGGCGGTGAACAGCCATAAAAATAAAACATATAAATACAAAATTTAAAATAGAGATAAAACAAATTAAATAAATTTGGCTGAACCATATTTAAAACCCCAATAATTTAAAACCAAATTTAAAATTCCCATTTAAAAGTGGAGAAGTTTAGGTCAGGCCGGCTTGCTGGAATAGAAACGTCTTAAGCGTGCGACGGAAGGTATGCAGATCCGGAATCCTCCGTATCTCGGGGGGGAGCTCATTCCAGATAGTAGGTGCCCCCACAGAGAAGGCTCTCCCCCTGGGGGCCGCCAGTCGACATTGTTTGGCCGACGGCACCCGGAGGAGCCCCTCTCTATGGGAGCGTACTGGTCGGTGGGAGGCTATTGGTGGTAGCAGGCGGTCCCGTAGATAACCAGGTCCTAAGCCATGGAGTGCTCTAAAGGTGATAACCAAAACCTTGAAGCGCACTCGGAAGACCACCGAGAGCCAGTGCAGCTCGCGCAGGAGGGGCGTTACATGGGAGCGCCACGTCGCTCCCATCACCATCTTACCATTCAAACCTTAGTTTACTAAATAAATCAGTCTTTTACAACGACGGATGTTAATTAATTGCATTAACAGCCACCAAGAATTCAAAGAATAATAACTGAAAGCTTACTATTGTTGGCAGAATGCCCAGAAGCAATTTGCAGGAAGCTGATAAGATAAGCAAGACAAGACACGAAGGTATGTGAACGAAGTTGTTCCCTGCAAATTGCTTCAGTCGGTGTTCCTCCTTAAATAGACTAAGGGTGTGGCCAATTAGCCCCAAGCCTTACTCTCGAGGAGACCTCCTCCTGAGGAGCCACTCCTGCCTTTTGGCAGCTCTGTGCGCCCGTGCATCGAGAAGAGGCTCCTCCTCTTTGTCCTCTTCACTTAAGGGAGCTTCTGGAGGTTCTGAAGGCCCTGGCTGAATCCCCGCCTCTGGCACCACATCTTCTCCAGCCTCCTCATTGTCCGACTCGAGTGCCAGCTGCACAGGCTGCTGGCGCAGCACCACACCAGCCTCCTTGCTGTCTGAATCAGCTACTAGCTGCACAGGCCGCGTACGGCCCACAACAGCATGAAGCCAGCTGGTTGATCTTGGGCCAATCATTCTCCCTCAGCTCTAGGAAGGAGACAGTGGCAAACCACTTCTGAAATGTTGCCAAGAAAACTGCAGAGATTAATCCAGGCAGTCTCCAGGAGTCAATGCTGACTCAAAGTCTCCACTCCCTCCTCTCTCTCACACACACACTGATTATGTGGCATCAAAGTAATGTCACTTCTTAGTGGTCACATAGATAACAGTATATTTCCTCTTTGACAGGTGTGTCAAACTCACGTTGTCATGGCGGCATCATGTGACATATTGGGACTTTTCCCCCCTTTGCTAAACCGGGTGTGGGCGTCGCCAGCTCGTGATGCATTCAACCCGCGAGCCATGAGTTTGACAGCCCTGCTCTATGACAATGTCCTTAACCTAGTCCTTCAGGTCTTCCAAGGTTAGTGGGTACAGTATGTAGTGAAAAAAATGTGCATATCCAAAAATATGAGCTTTGTCTCAGAGTCAAATTAATAAATATGATTACTTCTCCCAGAGCACGTTAACTTTAGGACAGTACAAAAACGTGCAGCCTTTTAACATAAAAGTTATTCTGATTGCATCTCCAACAGCATAGTGATTTAATCCTTCCTTTTCTTTAAAAACACAATGGGGTCCATTAAATCTGAAAGACTATTTTTGTGGTAAAAGTCATAGACTAATTGAGGGTCTGTAATTCCTTATTCCATTCAGTCTTTAAAATTTGCATTTGCAGTTCTTTTATTGATAAGAGATATCTATAGAGGCTGATGCTGGGCTTTTTGGTCTCATAGGATTTAGTGACCTCTTCTAATTTAAAGAGTCCCTGAGGCTGAAAATGTCAGAGATCTAAATTGTTATCAATAAATTTTGTAATTATAAATACTGCCAGCAGGTGGCAACTGTCAAATGGTACGTATTTATTTTTTAACACAGAAAATGATAAGTTATCCATTAGTTGATCTAAAGTATATATAAAAAAATCAATTCCCATCCAGGTTCTCCGTAAAACTGTTGGTTGGTTGGCTGGTTGATTTAAATAAATCTGAGTTCTGGATTATTCATAGCATCAATATATCATGGGGTTAAACCCTCCCACATTTCCCCCTAAATAATATGCTGCAGTTTTCAAATTGATATAATACCATGAGATATAACAAATATTATATATTTTTTTATATTTTGAACCCAAAGCATCCAACTTAACATGTTATATATAAATATTCAAAAAAGACCCATGAAAGAGAAATTACACTAAGTGAACATATCCAGAATTCGGTACTATCATCCAGAACTCATAAAACTAAAACCCAATCCTTAATTGACAATTGTATCTTTTTCAAAAAATATCTTCAGAATTGAGGACCCCATAGAAATTGATGAAGCAATGTATTTGGTTTTTGAAAATATTTTCCAGATATGTATCTAGAAATGCCATACAAACTATAAAGTATTCTGGAAATTACCTTTATTTTAAGAAAATTTATCCTAAATTAAAGTTTTTATTGTTCCCGTCTATCAGTATTCAAAAAAAATATCTTTGCACATCACACCCAATATAATAATCTGAGAAATATTACTTGAAATAAGAATAGCTAAATCATTGATACTTTTGGTTCATATATGAAAATGGCCATCACAATCTGTTAGGAAAAACAATGAATAGAGCCAGTAAGTGAATACTAGATCAGAATAAAATTCCCCTTCACTGTTAGATTTCCAAACTGATGTCAAATTTTTAGCTGAAGCGATTTTACATAGTTAAATACCAGGCATTCAACAAAGTATGTGTTTTGCAGTTTTGCAACAATAAATCAGTGTCTCACAACAGGAATTATTAGATCAATTTCTTAAGTTACATCAATCTGTATGCATCGGAAAAAGTGACAATAAGCCATTTGCAAGATTTGTTGTGAAAGATTGATGACTGGCCACCAGAAATGATAAAATATGATACTGACAATGCAGTCTCAAAATGATACGGTGCGGTTTTAGCAAACAACAGTGTGTCATTCCTTATAGCTTTGCTGAAGGAGAAGAAATTCTGAGTTTGAATGAGATTTATCAAATTCAAATCTCAGATCATTGCCTCAAAGATTTTAAAGATTTTAGGAGAATCAATTGCACTTAATATAATTTTGGGATGGGTGGATATTACAATATTTGTACTGCAGAGCACCTCAGTCTAGAGACTTTTATTGCTGTACAAAGCAAAGTGTAGTAACCCCAGCAAATACTTTAGCTCACCTATTCATAGCCATAAAATTAAATGATGATGCACAAGTCCTCATTCCAGGCCAATGGCCAATTGAAAAAAATAATTGTTTTCAGCGCTTTTTGAAACACCAAAAGGAAAGAGCCAGGTATATATCTGAGGTGCTAGATTTGACAATGTAGTTGATCCATTTACTTCTTATCTCTCCACAGATAGGATCTTCAGCAGAATACCTGAACTGTCAGCAACTTCATAGTTAGTAAGGCAAGTCTTGATGTATTCCAGTGCCACACCATATAGGACTCAATAGGTAATACCTGGAATTGGCCAAGGAACCTATTGGTAACCAATTCATTAAAACTGTGGGTTTCCCTGCCAGTTTAATTGCTGCATTTATAAGTTGCAACTTTTAAATCATCTTCTAAAACAACCCTGTATAAAATACAGTATATTGCAGTGATCCAAGAGTGATGAACAGAGCATGAATTATCTTTGACAAGCTCTCTTGGTCTAAGTCCATAATTGGGTCACAATCTGAAGAAGAGCAAAGTACCATTTGGCCATGGACTCTACCAATATTTCATGTAAGACCCATGAATTCAAAGGGTCCCCAAATAATGGAGAACTTTTTTGGGGGGAGTGCTGTTCCAGATTGATTCCTGACTACTGCTGATTGTTTTTGGAGGGGCGTTTTTTGTCCATTAGCAATAGCAATAGCACTTAGACTTATATACTTCATAGTGCTTTACAGCCATCTCTAAGTGGTTTACAGAGTCAGCATATTGCCCTCAACAATCTGGGTCCTCATTTTACCCACCTCGGAAGGATGGAGGGCTGAGTCAACCCTGAGCCGGTGAGATTTGAACTGCCGAACTGCAGCTAGCAGTCAGCTGAAGTAGCCTGCAGTATTACACTCTAACCATTGCACCACCTCAGCTCTTGTGAGTTATCAGAGCAATTTCCTGCTGAGTTATTTGAGGAGCTTTGCGGAACAAATAAGAGAAACATTTCCAGACAGCAAACCCACTGAGGGAGCAGAGCTTGGCAGAAATTGTTGAGGGGAAGCGTTCTGTTTATCAAAAGAAAAATCACTGATATGGCCTGAACTTGTGGACTGAAATGGATGTGGTATATTCATTTTCCTCTCTGATGACAATACAAGAATTATACATTTTGTTAAGTGCAAGCCAAATGCTTTCCTGCAAGGGAAGATGAGGAGGCTAAAAGTAAACTATCCATCAACTAGGTTGCCAGGGAAGAGTCTTGGTCCAGACATTCTGGAGGTACTATGGTACCAAGAAGCCTCCAAGAAGACAGAATAATGCCTGGTTGAGGGGATGGAGAGACGAAAAGACAACCTGTTAAAGAGAACCATTTCTCCTTGAAGCTTTAGAACAGGAGTGTCAAACTTGATTTCACTGAGGGCCGTATCAGGGTTGTGTTTGACCTCAGGGAGCCAGGATGAGTGTGGCCAGGGTAGGCATGGCCAGCTCAACATCACTTGTGTTGGGGGGACCTGTGGTGGTCTGAGAGCTCTGCCAGCGAAAATGGGCTCCCGAGCTATGTTTTCACCTGCAATAATCTCCTGCAACCCTCTGCCAGTGAAAACTGAGCTGGGGAGGGCCACCTGTGGCCCTCGCAAGCTCGGTTTTCACTGACAGAGGCACTCGGTTTCCACTGACAGAGGCACTGGTCCCTTGCTGTTTCCAGGGTGGCCCCACGGGCCAGATCTAAGAACTCATGGGCCAGATCGGGCCCCCGGGCCTTGAGTTTGACACCCCTGCTTCAGAACATATTCCAGAGGCTCTCTGTTTATGGTGTTTCTAGATTTCTGGTTGAAAAGCACTGTCAGAAGCCTCATGAATTGAGGAAAAGGACTATAAAGTCTCAGGAGAGGAAAGGATTTCTGCTTGCATCCTGAAAAGGAGAAAGGGATGGATAGCGGTGCTTGAAGATTCCCTACTGAGAGGGACCAAGTCAGCACTCTATTGGCATGATAGTTTGGCAAGTGTAATGCTTTGTTTTTCTGTGGTTGACATTGAGTATGTAATGGAAAAACATCTAAGACTCTTCAATTCTAGCTACAATATCCATTTGTACAGATGTTCTTGGCAACAAATGACATGGAAACACAATCCTGAGGACCCTGAAAAGCTTTCAGAGGTAGTATTGTCATGACACACTCCTCTTGAAGAACATGGTGCATAAAGGCAGGAAAAAATCTGGAAGCATAACAACTGGATTTTTCACCGGACATACTTAAATAGAGGCATCATCTTCAGGGAGTTCTAAATTCCTGTCCTGGGTAGAGAATTTGGACCAGATGAGCTCCAAAGTCTCTTTCAACTTTTGCATTTGCATTATTGATTGTATTATCTACCCCGCCCCACCTCCGTCTCAATTCTTTGGAATATTAGTTGCTTAGAAATTTATTTAGTGGAGAAGATAATTTTGAAAAAAAGTCTCAGTGTGGAACCCTTGTATCTTGCTTAGTGAAGAATTGGCCAATTTGGGGTGGCAAGAATGGTTCAATGTTCAATATTCAGTCCAATACTTGTCAGTCTCCTTGATTCCTCACATTTCAATTATGAGAAAAAGATTGAAATGTTACTATCCCTACTACTTATTCACATTTTTCTTCCCTTCCCTGGAGAAATCCAGAGAAATCAGACACCCAATATTTCTTCTGGTAGAAATCTGGTAGAGAAGTTCAAAAAGATGATTTGTGCCCAGCTCAATTTCCAGATATTACAAAACAGTCTCAATTTAGTCATAACCATGCTGCAACATTCACTGGACCATTTTCTGATGGATAATACAGTCAATATAAGCCAAATAGTCCTTTCAGATGAGAGATAATCATTGGTGTTTCACTGAATATCATTGCCTTAATAATTCACCTTGGTGAGATTTTGCAAAACACTCAAAGCTCCTCCATGTGATTGGTAGCCATCCATCCATGCTTCCAGAAGAAACTGCAATTCTAAAATGCTAACTGTAGCATGGCCGAAATGTACCTTACTCCTTGCTCAGGAAACTGACAACATTAGGAACAGTAAAATCATCATTCTTCTAGCAGCAAGAGCTGAATGACAGGCTGAACTTGGATTCTTGGAGCCGACTGCAACAGTTGAAATTAATGGCACTAGAATTCAAGCTGGCTGTAAAAGTTGGAGCCATTAATCATCCACAGACAGAGTTTCTTCAGTTTCATCTTCCGGTCCGAGAGCAATTCATTCCATTCTCTGAGCCAATGTGTGGGAGAGAAAAAATAAGGTTTTAGATAGTTAAAGAATCCCATAATACTGTATTAGAGATTCCTCTACAATCCTCCCTGGAATTAAACAAAACAATAGCAGTAAAGCTAATCTAGTAATCAGTGACCTTGTGATCCATCGGATGATGCTATCCATTCAATTGTGTCTGATTCTTGGTTATTCTACGGACCAGCCCTCTCCACAGTTTCCAATCTTATATATCTTCTTTCAGTTGTTTTATGCTCTGGTTGGTGTCGGCTTTGATGGTGTCTATCCGCTGTGTATTTTGGCAGCCTCTTTTCCTTTTACTGCTGACCATTCCAAGTGTAGAGAGTCACGGAGCAAATTTTAAAAATGTAAATAGAAACTTTAAAAACTACATGCAATTAGATGAAGGCTACCTAAAACTCACCTAATCTCATGCAGCACGTCTCCTGATTTCTAAAACTCTCAGCAAGAAAGCAATAGTTTTCTCCTTTTTTGTTTTCGTGAAGATTGTGAACTTTCTCCCATGACCTACTTTCCTCTCTACTTTCCTCCTGTTTTCTTCATTTCATTTCCCTACATTTCACATGATGCATTTTGTAATTATCTGAAGAAACTATATCCGGCACTAAATGTCTATGGAGATTCTCAGTCATCCAGGTCATGGTTGTCCCAAAGGTGCTTTTTAAAGAGGCAACTGGACTTTCTGGGATTTTAAAAAATATATATTTTGCTTCTCATCCAAGAAGCTTCTGAAGCTTCAGAGCTGAAGAAGCTTCTTGAAGGAGAAGCGAAAGAACTTCAAAGAAAAACCAGAAAGTCCAGTTGTCTCTTGAAAAAGCACCTTTGGAATATCTGACACTATGGGCATCAACTAAGTTTTAAGCAAATAACAAAGAGCAAACCTGATGTAGTTGTTCCTCCTTATGTTTACAACTCAAACAATATGAAGGGATGTACTTTGAAGAATCATGCCTGATATGTTTGTTTAAATAGGAGATAATTGTTAGGTATGACAATATCAACATTTTTAAAATCAAGAGAATTTAATGTTTTCAAAGATTATTTCAAAGACAGAAATAGTAAAATATTCAAGTTTATTAGATGTGAAGATAATGCATCTATAAATCTCTGTTTCACTTAAAAATAAATTACAGCTTTACATACATCCATTAGAAGGATCAAATCCAATAACAAAGGTGAAATTTCAAAAGACCCAGATGCATCTGAGATTAAAAAGCTGAGATAACAGATGTTTCAACTGAATAAACTGACAAAAAGCACTCTGATATATGATATTTAGCTTTTAGTAATGAGATAATGAGGCCAAATTTAGCCTCCAATGATTTGTGAGTTATTTTTAAAATGGGATCTTCCTATATAAAGATATATTAAGACAAAGTAAAAAAGAATGCTTATAACCTAATACTTTCTACATTGTTTGATGATATTAAGAGCTGTAATACAATAGATTTCCAGGAAAAAAGAATGTAAAATTAATATTTGCCAAGATTTAAGCAGAGCTGGGCAATAACTTAAGTCAAACCCAAAGAAATCAGGGAGTTATAAGATTCTTTATTCTAGAACATACAAAGTTAAGGTAAATGCTAAATAAACATCATCAACTCACCATTCCCTGTAAATCAGTGTTTCTCAACCTTGAAAGCTTGAAGATGGGTGGACTTCAACTCCCAAAATCCCCCAGCCAGCAGCGCTGCTGTAAATGGTTATAATTAATGTGTACAAGTTTGGAGAAGTATCCTTAAAATAAAATAATGATATAAAGACAAAAAAAAATTAAAGTACTAATTAGCTGTGGTAATTAATCTTAATTAAAATTAAGGTTAGGTGGCAAAATTGTAGAGTTATAAGCATAAGGACAAATAAGAATTACATATATAGAATTGCATACGTAATTGTAAACCACATAAGTCTCTATTGGTCAATATGATAAAATGGAAAAGTAGGATCTGCCTACATGCCTAAAAAAAAAAATCATACTACAACCCATTTTTTTCTATGGAAGAATGGATTGCACCATGACTTTATTCAGTTGCAAGCTTATTCATATATATATATATATGTGTGTGTGTGTGTGTGTGTGTGTGTGTGTGTGTGTGTGTGTGTATAGTTAATATTTCGGGTTTCTTCCCGTGTAATTGTGGATATATCCCTAAAAGGGTAGAAGCGACGTTTCGGCAGAATCCCATCTGCCATCATCAGGCTTATGTCAGCAGTCATTTTGCACTAAGTTAGTTCTTTTAAAATTATTCACTGGAATAAATGGAGAAGAATGAAGCAGAATGAAGTGGAATGCATTATGAAATCATATCATTCGTAGATTATCTTTGAAATGCACTAAATAAAAACCAAGAGGCAAAGCAAAATAAGATCAAAGAAGAAGGTACTTCTTAGGTACAGTTGCTTTTTCAAGATTTTGTTTTTGCCTGTTCACCTGAACACATTTTCAAAGAGACACAGTGGTTCGGCAAAATCACAGTCATGGAGTCTGCACAAGAATCTCAGTTATTGCTAAAGCTGAAAGGTACTTAAAAGAGGAGAGGGAGTGGGAGGATAACCTAGGTGTAAAGCAGGGGTGTCAAACGTGATTTCATTGAGGGCTGCATCAGGTTTGTGTTTGACCTCGGGGGGCCAGGGTGGGCGTGGTCAGCTCGACATCACTTGTGTCGGGGGTGCCTGTGGTGGCCTGAGCGCTCTGCCAGCAAAAATGAGCTTCCAAGCTCCATTTTCATCTGTGATGGCTTCCTGCAACCCTCTGCCAGTGTAAACGGAGCTCGGGAGGGCTGCCCACGGTGTCTTGCAATCCTCTGCCAGCAAAAATGGAGCTCGGGAGGGCCGTGGGCAACATTTTTGCTGGCAGAGGCATTACAAGCCAGTTCTTTGCTGTTTCCAGGGTGGCCAGAACTAAGGGCCAGAACTAAGCACGCCATGGGCCAGATCCGGCCCCCGGGCCTTGAGTTTGACACCCCTGATGTAAAGAAAAGAAAGGAAAAATGGTTGAGCTCCCATTTGATGAAGTAATCCTAGTGCACAATTCCAAAGAACATAAACAATAACCTAAAAAACTGAAGCCGTAGAGCTGCATTCAGATTCTTCCAAACAATCCAATTAAATGAAAGCAAAATACAATGATTAAAGATAAATAAAAGAGAACAGATAAAAGCTTAAAAAACAACAACTTATCAATATTATCAGGACAAAATCAATATTTTTTTTCTTCTGATTGACATAGCAGCTTACAAAACAAATTAAAATTTACATGACATGCAAAAATTTCAAAAAAGGAATGCAAAGAAAGATGCAAAGTTTGAAAGAAGCAATCACTGAGGAACAATGGAAAATAACATGGGGGAAAAAATCAATACAATTCTCTCCAAGGTATTATTTAAGACAAAATTGGTATACAATCTGAGAAAAAAAATTAGTATACATTAAATTTATTTTACAGATGATATATAATTTTATCAATGTTTACCAAGATGGACAAATCTTATAACAAATGTTGGAAATGCCATAATAAAGAAGAAACATTTTGTTATATGTGGTTGTTGAAGAAAAAAAAAAACACACCTCAAAAGTATTGAAGGAAATACATCACAATAGGAAAAATTTTAAAAACAAAAATAAAATCACAAATGTTAGGAGTAATTCCAAAAACCATACATGAAAAATATCACAACTTATGCTGACAGTGGCAAGAACAAACCGAGCATAACACTGAAAAAGTGAAAATCTGCCAATTACAAGACTGAGAGGCCAAAACTGATGAATAAGCAGCAATGGCAACACTGACAATATATCTTCATAATAGAAATTTAACCAAATTGAATCAGGAATGACGTTCTTGTATAGGACATATTACACAGCGAGGCAGAATCAGACATATGGACTATGGCTTCTAGGAATAGAGTCAACAAACTAATTAAAACCACAGATGAAATTACTTAAACAGACATAAACAAAAGTCTCCAGTGTCTAATATTAAATATTAAAAGCATAGTATAAATATTTAAGTAGTGGTTAGTGGTTGGGAGGAAAGAATGGAAGGGAAGAGGAGAGGAGAGGAGAAAGTGTCAGTAAAATTCCCCTTCATATTGTTTTTCCTTATGTTCTATTTTTCATTTTGCCTCTTGTACTTTTATTCTTTACTCTTTGAAAAGCTTATGGAATATACAATTAAAAAAAGAAATACTAGCCAGACTTAGAAAATAGCTACTTGGTAATAAATGGGCTCTGATTCTACAAGAAAAGCATTGCAGCCACCTGCCTTAGAGGGGGATTGAATTCTACTAATGGCATATGCCGTTATATGGTGGAGCATATGGTATGACAATGAAAAAAATGTAAGCAGCAGTTTAGTCAAATGTTCTCACAGCACAAGAACAGATCCTCTAGAACAGGACTGTCAAACATGATTTCATTGAGGGCCGCATCAGGGTTGTGTTTGACCTCAGGGGCTGGAAGTTGGCGTGGCCAGGGTGGGCGTGGCCAGCTTGGCGTCACTTGTGTCAGGGGCCTCTGTGGTGGCCCAAGCGCTCTGTCAGAGAAAACAGGCTCCCGAGCTCTATTTTCAGCTGTGACGGCCTCCTACTGCCCTCTGCCAGCATAAACGGAGCTCCGTGGGCCGGTCCTTTGATGTTTCTAGGGCGGCCCCATGGGCCAGATCTAAGCACCCCGTGAGCCGGATTGGGGCCCCGGGCCTTGAGTTTGACACCCCTGCTCTAGAAGAGTGGTTTTCTGGCGCCTATCCTCCAATATCACTGTAGGAAATGGTTCAAGGCAAAAATTCTCTGGTGCATAGTAGAAGGGAGATGGAATAAATACTTAACTGGAACAGGTGGATTCTGTTCTAGAATGTTCCCATGAGAATTCTCAATAACCCCTAGAGCTGACAGATTTTTCCTTAATCTTAACAATGACAAAATCTGGGTGGAAAACCCACAAAAACACAGGTTTTGCCAAAACGTTTATCTTCCCTTGTGAAGGTGAGTTATCAGAAATAATTTGGGGGGGGGGAGTAAATAATGAAGGAAAGTGGCCATTCTTGATTCCACATTGATCAGAGCATTTTCAGCTTTTTGGCTAAGATCAATTGTAGTTTATGTTATCTTGAATTCTTAAATAAGTAGAAAGGCCAGGTGTTTGTGTGCAAGAGAAAGGGAGGGAGGGAGAGGGAGAGAGAGGGAGAGGGAGAGGGTGAGAGAGAGAGAGCTCTTGAAAATGAGCAATATCTGTACAAGTCAGTGAGTAAACCACAAGATCAATATGCTCAAGGAACAAGAATAATAATGTTGTTATCTGGTTTAGATGTCAATTCAGTATGATTGCTAAGATTCTCAATGGCATTCTTTCTTGTGATACTAATTATTACAGATGTTTCTGCCCCCCCACGCAATAAACTTCAGATATTTGAAGAGTAAAGCCTGAATCACCCAGATATGAAATAACTGTATCTCCCCAATAATCAAGTCAAACAAGATTTGCAGTAAGTCTATTTCTCTGATGCATTTATTATTGAATCCATGCAGCCAGCCATTCACATATGCTCTCTGAGCAGCTGATAGACTAAAGCACAATATTAAAAACCAAATTAAAGTAATTAAAGTACAACAGAGACAATAAAAGGCAATATTAAAAGAGCATTATAACAAATTCCCCAACAGAAAATCAAGGTTAAAAAAAAAAATCTCACTAACTAATCAGTCACCCTCTTTTTCTCTCACTTGGACTTTTGAAAAATATCTTACAGTTCTGATAAGTGTATATAGAAAGATTGTTTAGATATCCTAGTCACAGTTCATCATCTTATATTTGCCCAGGGTTGCTTTTAAAACACTTGAAGTAGAAACATATTTGAGCAGACAAGTATTTTTAAAAAATATTGGATAAGTAACTTTCTCTTAACTGTAGAAATCAGTCATATTTAGGGGAATGGTTTCCACTGTTTCACATTGATCAAGTCAAATGGAAAAGGAAAGGGAAAACTGTTTATTTATTTAGTAGATTTTTATCCCTTTATTGTCTTATAACTCAAGGCAGCAAACTTATCTAATGCTCCTTCCTTCTCCTATTTTTCCCACAACAACAACCCTGTGAGATAAGTTGACTTTAGAAACAATAACTAGCCCAAATTCACCCAGCCTTTTACCAATAGCACCTCTCTGAAACCTTTTGAAAATCTTCCCATCCCCACCCACCCATCCAAATTGTCAGAATTATGTAAAGTCTTGTCAATCTCTTCATGCAACAGCAAGAACACAAATATGGAAAGAGGTCATTTATCTCAGCCCTTGATGCAGTTTGTCCCAATACTTTGAACATTAGACACAATTATCAGATCTGTATTCATTTCTGGACCCCCCAGCAATGATGTATGGAAAAGGGATGCTGACAGTGATGATTGGCCAATTCTGTCAAATTTTCATTGCCAGTATTCTGATATTTGGATGGGTCCAATAGTGGAGCCTCATACAGAAGTTGAGCAACTGGGAAACAATTGTATCAAAGGTGCTTTTTCAAGAGGCAACTGGACTTTCTTTGTTTTTCCTTGGAGACATTTCACTTCTCATCCAAGAAACTTTTTCACTCCTGACTGTCAGAATTGAAGAAGCTTCTTGGATGAGAAGTGAAACGTCTTCAAGGAAAAACAAAGGAAGTCCAGTTGCCTTTTGAAAAAGCACCTTTGGGACAACTATGATCTGGATGTCCATAGACAAACATTTGTAGTTTCTGCTTGTGTCAATGGCTGGGATTCATTCATACAATGAGTTAGAGCTGATACTAAGTGGAGAAACTATCAAGAATTTGAATGGAGAAATGTTAGCACCTCAATGCACGCACACACAGAGAACAATCTAGGTCCTCATTTTACCGATCTCAGAAGGATGGAAGGCTGAGTCAACCTTGAACCTGTTGAGATTTGAACTGCCAAGCTGCAGGCAACTGGCAGTCAGCAGAAGTAGCCTGCAGTACTGCACTCTAACCACTGCACCACCATGGCACGCAACCTCAAAGGTCCCCATATAAAACTGTTGGTTGGCCTATAAAGCATATAAGAAACAGCCTCATAATATTCATAGAGTTCTAGAGGAACAGTGATAAGTGAAGCATAACTTTAATCTTTTTTCAGAACAGATACCTTGATAAGTAAGTAAAAATCTTCATCTCCAAAGAGGGTTTGGGAAGAGAACTGGTCTCCAAATGTGATGAAAATCTTTGTCTGAAAGGACACTGATCCAAGAACCTCTCTCCTTTAATTATTTCATCAAACTATTGATCCAATGGTTCTACTATATAGATATATTACTCTCAGCTTCAAGAGATGGCTCAAAGTTTGTTGCCCTCCAACTATCCTCTTCTGGGTTAAGTATCTTTATTAAAGATGATGGGACTCAAGGTTGTCTTTGTATTGTCTGGCGTGAAGATCCAAGGAAGGTTTACTTTGCTGAGTAAATCTGTGGCAGAGCAGATCTACTAAGCCCTTAAAAGGAGGATTAGGAAAATGTACACGGGAAAGGGAGATGTATTGACTCCACATGGGGATAGGAAAAGAACTTCCAGAAGCATAGCAATATTAAGTCAGTTGAAACAAAACCAGCAATCTTTTGTGTCTCCCTAAAAAAGTATACATATTTTGGCCAGAGTGCATGCTACAAGAAATAATTAAAGCATTACAGTGCTCCAATAGAAGATAATATATGTACCGTGTTTCCCCCAAAATAAGACCCTGTCTTATATTTTTTTTGAACCCTGAAATAAGCGCTTGGCTTTATTGCCATGTGCTCAAAAGCTTGATTGGGCTTATTATCAGGGGATGTCTTATTTTGGGGGAAACAGGGTAGCTCAGGGTTGAACTGTGGGATCCTTGGTGCTTTCTCTGAGCTTGGTTGTTTGCTTGCAGATGTTTCATTTTTGACTATGTAACTTCATCAATGCATGGCATGTTTCAAATAATGAAATGTCTTTAAGCAAACAACCAGGCTCAGAGAGTGCCAAGGATTCACATTAGGGTGTTTTATTGAAAAGATTCAAAGGGGTTAATTTAAAAATTGCATGCTTTGAAGAAAGACGGAGAAAGATGACTTCTTTCCCTATCTTGTATCATACTATAGCATCAGGAGATGGGGCTATCCAATGAAATTAATGGGGAGTTTGCTCTGAAAATAGAAGAGAAAAACTTTCTTCAAACTATGAAGAGTTAACCTATAGAGTACATTGCCATCAGGTAAACTATCATTTTAGGCATCTTTTTAAAAAGATCAGTCACGTTAAGGTAGGGATGAGCAATCAATCCATGACTAAAGCCACTGAAACTCAAGACCAAGATGGAGGAATTAGCACGATTGTCCCACCATTGTAAAGCATTGCTTTAATGTATACCTACATACATATATGCAATGCCATCATGCTATTCCCTTTTTAGGTGGGCCAGATAGAAAACAAATTAGAAATAGTAAAGTCAAAAGCTCCTGGGGAGGAAAGCTATGGCAAATCTAGATAGCTTACTAAAAAGCAGAGACATCACCCTGCCAACAAAAGTGCATATAGTCAAGGCTATGGTGTATACAATTGCAATGTATGGCTGTGAAAGTTGGATCGTAAGAAAGGCTGAGCACCAAAGAATTGAGGCCTTTGAACTATGGTGCTGGAGAAGACTCCAGTGAGTCCCTTGGACTGCAAGGCGATCAAACTGGTCAGTCTTAGAGGAGATCAACCCTGACTGCTCTTTAGAAGACCAGATCTTGAAGATGAAACTCAAATATTTTGGCCACCTAATGAGAAGGAAGGACTCACTGTAGAAGAGCCTAATGCTGGGAAAGATTGAGGGCAAAAGAAGAAGGGGATGACAGAGAATGAGTTGGCTGGATGGAGTCACTGAAACAGTAGGCGTGAGCTTAAATGGACTCCAGAGGATGGTAGAGGACAGGAAGGCTGGGAGGAACATTGTCCATGGGGTCGCGATGGGTCGGACGTGATTTTGCAACTAACAACAATACCAACAAAGTCTAAAATTTAAGGGAGGAAAGGAAAACCATTGGGAAGATGGGGGATGAATAGGACATACCATACTGAGAATTCTTGAGTGACATATCATATTTGCTCCAGCATTTTAAATTTGGCTTCTGTGGGACCACAGTGGATGTAAAAGACTTTGAACCAACCTCCAGAATGTGATGCTTTCTTCAAGTACAAAACAAAACACTTTTCCTGTTTCATGCAATGCCCTACAGTGAATAAAAAAAGCCTAATCAACACCCAATATGCTAGGTCACACACACACAGAGACACAGACACATGTACACACGCACCTCTAGGGTAACAATAACCAATCTTAGCATATTAAGTGAATGAATATTAATTGACCTGTTTAAAAAGGTTACATGAACAACATCTTACTAACAAAGCTGTCTTCAGGTCAATCACTCATTTCCACAACCTAATCTAGCTGGAGGGTCATTGGTAGTTAAAATGTAGAAGGGAAAACATTAGGACATTTTAAAAAAGGGGCAAGATTTTCATTATTCAACTATGATTGCCCTCATGACTTTTTTTTTTTTTGACTGGCAAACAGATGCCCATGGAAGAAATTCTGTATGTCAAGAATAAACATGAACAACCAAAATTGCCCTTCGTTCTTCACTAGTATGCAGGGGGCACCACTCCAAAAATAAAATGGAGCAAAAATATAATGGAGCAAAGAATCCCTCTCCCCCCCCAAAAAAGTTTGCATTCCACATACAAAAACTTGCTTTTTGTTTCATTTACACCCAATATTTATTTATTTATTCAGTTTGTATAGCAACCCATCTTACCAGATGCAACTGTGGATACAAATTTTTTTACTAACAGTTCTGTGGGTGTGGCTTGGTGGGCATGGCTTGGTGGGCATGCCAGAGGAAGGATAGTGCAAAATCTCCATTCCCACCCCACTCCGGGGAAGGATACTACAAAATCCCCATTTCCTCCCCACTCCTGGGCGAAAGAAATTGCAAAATCTCCATTCCCACCCCACTCTGGGGTCAGCCAGAGGTGGTATTTGCCAGTTCTTTGAACTACTCAAAATTTCCACTACCAGTTCTTCGAACTGCTCAAATTTTCCGCTACCGGTTCTCCAGAACCTGTCAGAACCTGCTGGATTTCACCCCTCTGTGGGTAGCAATATAATATTTAATGAATTTATTATAATCGGCATGACTATACTCTCATATACTGTACATAATATTCAATCCTTTGAAAGACTGTCAATAGTTACAGCTAAGGCTCATAGGAAATGCTTGAATTCCTAAACAAAAAAAGAAATATGCAAGTCATATATAAAACCTTTTTATATGTTGCCATATTCATTTTGAAATACATACAATGATTTGACTTATGGAAATCATAGAATTCTGAAGACTGATGTCAGTGTTCCAAGTAATGCACCCCTAGGTAATAGAACTCTGAGGCAGGTAGATTCCTCAAAGAACAATTTTATTGGATACATCATATTGGCACAACTAATGAAAGCTGACTTTGAAAGTTCCCGCAGCTTTCACCCAGAGGTGGTATTCAGCAGGTTCTGACCAATTCTGGAGAATCAGTAGTGGAAATTTTGAGTAGTTTGGAGAACCAGTAAATACCAGCTCTGACTGGCCCTGCCCCCATCTATTCTCTGCCTCCCGAGTCCCAGCTTATCGGGAGGAAATGGGGATTTTGCAGTAACCTTCCCCTGGAGTGGGGATGGAATGGAGATTTTACAGTATCCTTCCCCTGCCACGCCTACAAGCCATGCCCACAGAACCAGTAATAAAAGTTTTTGAATCCCACCACTAATTTTACCTAATTAAAAATAAAGTTTTCCCCTTTCCCCCAAGTCACTGGTCACACTGTCCAATCAAGATCCTGGCTGGTTGCTTTGTTACTTCATCCCTCCTCTGGCCAGCCACCTGCTAGAATGTCCTTGGTTCCCACAGGAAAACTTTTGTTTTGGCTACAAAACCCCATCTAGCTATTTCTTCTTTCCCTATCCCTTTTTCTGTCTTATGGCAACCCTGAAGCCTCCAAGATGGCCTCCGCCAGGTTCATGTCAGAGTTGACAACTGTTTCTCATAACAAAACACCTCAATACAAGTTTGGAAAGCAAATGGATTTGATGCTTATTCTGTACTTAAATTTTATTTTGTTCTAATTAAGGAAGGAAAACCATTTAGAAGCATACAGGAACGGAGATCAAACTAAAAGATCATGAAGGTTCATGGATACCAATGGGAGTTGGGCAGGGAAAGGACTTGGACTGCTGGAGACTTTATATAGTATAATAAAGAAATCTGTGCAAGGCCGACTCTTGCTTCTAAAATCTACCTTTGTTGTCGAGTCTCATAAAACTGGAAATGGGCTGTTTGGTCCTTTGTCGTTTAGCTAGGGCCAGCAAAAAACAACTCTCTTTTCCAGTGGGAAAAAAATCAAGCTGGATTGTATTTTCCTAACTCCACCACCACTTTCTATATGTGTATCTGAGAGAGAGACATCTGTGAGCTAAGTGGCTTTCTTCTCTCCTGTCCCTTCCATAAAAAAAAAAAAATGCAGGCTTTTGCTTCCTTTAGCCATTAGATTTTCTCATATAATACCTTGAAGAGCAAAACCATTGCATCAGTTACGGTTAACACCTTCCACCACCCAGTTTGCTGTTTGCAAATGTTGTTCTCCATGCAGCAGATGCTTTGCCATGTGCGCTGACCTCGGAATGGATGATCGGGTTTTATCATAAAAATTCCGCCTCCGATTGTGAGAATTTCATAGTTGTGGAGCATCTGCTCCCAGGGATAACCAAACCAATGCATGGAATTCCTCAAAGAAATACAATATCAAATGATGGAGGCTTTCTATCTCTTGTAACCAGAAGAACTTCTACTTTTTTCTTCTTCTACAGCTAAAAGCAGCAAAGCTTTTACTATAACATAAATACCTATAGATTCAAAGGTGTGTATATCATTAAAAAAAAAAAACCAATAGAAGTTACTGTCTCATACTGACCCAATATTAAGTCAAACCATTTGTGAGACACACAGCTAATTTGGTGGGAAGCCAATGACATCTTATTCACACTGTATGCTTCAGCATTACATTACAATGCATGCAGCAGCATGGAATGAAACCTCTGTCATTATATTAAGTATGGTAGAGAAGACACAAAGAAAAGATCCCTGTGCTCTGACCCTAATGCTAACTTTTGAATCATCAATGATCCTAATTCAATTGCCCCAAATTCAATAACTTTCCTTGAATTTAAGTACCATGCCTTTCTTGGTTCACTTGATTGATTGATTGCTTCCTTCCTTTGATTGGAGAACACGAGCAGGAGGATGTCATGAGCTTCAGGTCCTCTTGGAACCTGTCAAAATACTCTGTGTGTGGAG